AGAGACAGAAAGAGAGCCACTGCTACCAGCTTTTACCTAGTAGAGGCGTAAGATGCCAGTATGAGCTATCCAAGGGCAGCGTCCTGTGAAGTTCGGTGCACAAGGTGGGTCCGTCCCTCCGCAGTTGTTTAGGGCAGTAGAGCTGCTAATTGAAAAAGTAGAAAGTGCTGCTGTTGTTCAATCACACTGAATATATTAATGCCACCAACTCCGCCCCACACGCACAGCTGCATCTGCATGATGTAATACTAACAGTTATACAAATACATCATCTGCTGGAAAACTCACATCCTTAATGGGCAGAACAGATACAGGATGAGGTAGAATAATTCAACTTTACATTTGCAACAGGTGTGTTCATTCAAGCTAGGTCTAGAACTAGGTACTATAAAGCCAGGAAAAATGAGCAGGACAAAAGAACCAAAAAACACCCACAAAAACCAAAACCACCCAGAAAAACCCACCCCAATAGAAAAAAAAAAAAACAAACAAAAAAAAAAAAAAAAAAAAAAAAAAAAAAAAAAAAAAAAATTCTCCCAGCCCCACCAGCCAGACCGAGAAGGGGAAGGTTTATCCAGTGTTCAGCACCTACTACGCAGGCCAGGTTCCCCTTGGCAGGAGGGCAGCTCCAGCTCTGGAGCCTGGGGACAGAGCTCTGCCCCCTCCCCTGAATGCACACTGCCTGCTTGCTGCTTAGCTCTGAGGAGGTGTCATCTGAAGAAGGGTAGAGGAAACTTCTGAAACAATGTTTGCACAGCTGCGTTTGACCTAACTTTGTTTAAGTGTTGAAAAACTGAAAAGAAATTGGAAGATGTATCCCCACTGTCAGGCTCCGATCCTTCTCAAAATGCAACTCGTCAAGCGCCTGCACAGGTACAACAGCATCGCAGTGACTGTTCAGAAGTGGTAGGAAACAGGTTTTGCAATAAGATTGTGAGTATACTTTTGTGTGTGTATATACATGTGCATGCATATATACATAAATATGTATCTCTAAAATTATTTTTATTGAATGTTTAACTGGGCAAAGCTTCTTACAAGGAAAGTTGTTTATTTCCTTTAGGTCATGAAAGCAATTTAGAACAAACAAAACTAATGTTGCATTTTCAGAGGCTCAGCAGCTGTCACAGCAAGCACTTACCTTCCCTTTTACCAGCTCAGCTGATGCAGGCAGCAGACCGCACTCAGATTCTAACTCTGCACAGCACTGTTGCAATAGAGAAATAGTTCAAGGCAGGCAGACATAGAAAAAAAATTGTAAGAGAAGGAACACTACTACTGAGTATGAACAGAATGGAATTATATCTTTCCAGTTGAACTATTTTCAGCTATCAGGAAAATTATGCAGTTTTCCCTTGCTACTTTCAGCCTTTAATTCTGTAGACCTTTATGCACAAATACAAGTTTTCTTCACATGCAACTAGTCAGCAGTTTAGCTTCTGCTCCTCTGATGCCCCTGTTACAACCTACAATACCTTTAAAGATCTTCTGCTTGTCTTTATAAATACCTTGTTATTCTGTGTTAAATCCAGACCAATCAGACCCTGAGCTATAGCGTTCCTTGCTAGAGCTGATTGGGGAAAAAAAGTCTTCCCACATCATCTCCCCCGCCACCCCCTTCCAAACTTGCAGACAGTATTTTTGTTCAAAACAAAGTACTCCAGAGTTACATAATTTCCCAACATGTTTCCACAGAGGGGCACAAAGGTAATAATCGTTTCACTGCCTATTTGAATGCCTGAATATATTTTATAACAAGTTTTTAAACATTTGTTTTCAAGACAGTCTGCAAAAGAAAGGGCTGATCGTGGGGGACAAACCACACCAACGCATCAGGGAAAGCTTCCCTCCGCCCCATTTGGTATGTTCACCACCAACTGTTTACAGTGAAGACCAACACCACACCTGTATGTTCTAGCCCATTTTTTCCAGAAGGCTGATGAAGGAAAAGAATAACGTGCAGATCACTACATACAGTTTACCGCCTCCACAGTTGTGTACATGTTAGAAAAGAAGAAATCAGATACTGCCAAATTACTTGCAGTTCATCTCAGCTGTAGATGTCCTCCACCAGAGCACCTCCTGTGCAAGCCTACCTTTTCTTCTCCCACCAGACACACGTCATACCTGACACAGCAGTTCACAGAGTCGCCTTTGAAGCAGTTCCCATCTTAGTGTATTAACAGTTACTAAGAAGAGATATTTACAAATCTTACAGGGTTCCTTATAATTTGGTAACAAGTAATCAGATGTTATAGTGGCTTTAAACCTGACTACTGCCTATCACAAACCCATTGTGCTTTGTTTTAATCCAGTAGTACCTACACAGGAAAGAATTTTAAAAGTGCATTTTGTTTTGTGAGTTCCAGAAAACACTGGGCACTCTTTCTTCCCTGTGGTTATGTTTCCCCGTGCTACACGGAAGGCAACACTTCCTGACAGCAGTGTTAAGGTGCCACAGTCCTTTGTGGAAATGGATGATTCCAGTACAACTTATTGGAAGGCAAGCATTTGTCCTTCTAATCTGACATCCTGTACAGAAGTTGATGTGCTTTACATGATATTTAGAAATATTCTTTGATCAAGTTTGGTAATGCCAGGGTCTGCCACTGGTGACTTCTACCTTGATATAAGTCAGTCATAGCTTTTATACCAGAGCTAATAATAAGGGACTGGGGGCGGGGGGAAGGAGATTCCATTAACAGTCACCTCAGTGCCCAAGCAAAAATTGAAGGCAACTCTCAGTAACTTGTTCAGCTTTTTCACTGGATGAGGGCTGCAGCAATTAGTGGCAAGGCATGATTAGACATATGAAACATAGGAGCTGTGCCAGGCTGACTTAGGTTGAAGTAGCTTCCTTGGCCAAAAGGTTCCCTAATTTCTCATCTTTTACCACGCAAGTAGGGGAAGTAGAGAAATGGAGCGAGTACGTGGGTGGGGAAGATACCATAAGGCAGTCCTTCCGTCAGAAGGGGCACTAGACCTGTCTGGCTTTCTGCAGGAACTCATATAGACCATTGTCCTCCTGCGCTCCCATCCTTGTTTGTCAGCCCTGTTCATTATAACACCTTCCAACTTCTTTACACATTTACCAGCTTATTTCTGTTTATCTACAGAAAGAGATTCTGCAGACTACCTGGAGTCATTTAAAGCCAAAGTCTCAGCCATTTTCAGGGGGGTGGTATCTTCTGGCGATTTATTTGGTTCTATTTTTTTGTTTGTTTCTTTTCGTTGTTGGTTTTTGGGTTTTTTGGTTTTTTTTTGTTTTTTTTGTTTTTTTTTTTGGTTTGTTTTTTTTTTGAGTCACAGTAACATCAGTCTCTTCCACAAGTCTAGGGTTCTTTCTTTTCATTTACTCTAGCTCACTTTGCAGCAGAGCTTTGTCTATTTGGAACTGGAAAATGACACACTATATCCCTTGTTATGCCTCTTGCTAAAAAAACAACTCTACAGTTTGAAGGAAGCAGCAAGCATGAAAGCAACATGAGCACATAGATGCGAACGATGCCAAAATACTGGTCAGAAGTCAGCAAGCACAGTCTGGAGCTGTTTCTGCCACACCAGTGCATAACAGTTGTGCTTTAGAGCTAAGACATAGGGTACCAAGTATTTTTTCACAGAATCACAGAATGTTAGGGGTTGGAAGGGACCTCTGTGGGTCATCTAGTCCAACCCTCCTGCCAAAGCAGGGTCACCTACAGCAGGCAGCACAGGAACTTGTCCAGGTGGGTCTTGAATATCTCCAGAGAATGAGACTCCACCCCCTCCCCGGGCAACCTGTTTCAGTGCTCCGTCACCCTCAGAGGGAAGAAGTTGTTCTTCATGTTCAGCTGGAACTTCCTCTGCTTCAGCTTGTGCCCATTGCCCCTTGTCCTGTCGCTGGGCAACACTGAAGAGTTTGGCCCCATCCTCCTGACACCCACCCTTCAGATATTTGTAAGCATTTATAAGGTCCCCTCTCAGCCTTCTCTTCTTCAGGCTGAACAAGCCCAGGTCCCTCAGCCTCTCCTCGTAGGAGAGATGTTCCAGTCCCCTCACCATCCTCGTAGCCCTCCGCTGGACTCTCTCCAGTAGCTCCTCATCTTTCTTGAACTGGGGAGCCCAGAACCGGACAGAGTACTCCAGATGAGGCCTCTCTAGGGCAGCATAGAGGGGAAGGAGAACCTCCCTCGACCTACTGGCCACACTGACAAGACAAATTTTTCTTACAAGACAAATTGTAGTTTCACATATTATGTACATTGTAAACAACATTGAGCATCAGTCACATTGCCCTGAGAAATGCATGCCTGAGGCAAAGCATTCCATAGGCTAAAGTCAGTCAAGTTTTTTTCCTGTAATGAAGTGATACGTGCTCCAGAATTTGGAAAGAAAATGCCACACATGCTGGAATCAAATCACTGCGTTCTTTGATTGCCCAGGCTTTTGAGGTGTTGATGTTAGCAAATGAGCAAGAGGTAGTATGAAGTTTCTATGTTTCTATAGAAAAAGTTGGTGCAATGACATGATTGCTTTCTACTAAAGAGAACAGCCTAATACCATGCAGTTATTCAAAACCAAAGAGTAAATACAAGCAGCAAGCAGAACATAAAAGTCAGGTCTGTTTGACACAAGAAGCTTAAGAAAGAGAGATGACTTTTTTTGGAACAAGGTGGGCTACTCAGGTGTAGGAACGGCACCTTCGGTAAAGGAGTGCCAGTACCACCCATGGAGTTACTAACCCTTCATCCTAGAACTAGAGAATTTTTTTAGGAGATTCTGCAGCTTTGGTCCAACCCAGCACCTACTCATTGGGATCCCACCTGATTCTCAGCCCAGATGCTGTGTTTGCAGATCTTTTAAAAAAGGGAAAAAAAAAAACCACACACCAAAAAAAAACCCTCCACAGATCATTTACCAGATGACTTGCAGATCAGTCCTACTCCCCCTTGCCATAACTAAACCGTAAAGGATTTGCCCGTGCAAGAGTGAATGCTGGCACACTGCCAGTAGTTACTCACTTTTCTGGTCTTCCACCTTTTCTTGAAGCAACTGGCAAGTGCTTGTTAAAGCTGCATTCACGTCCTTGAGTTTTTGCTGCTCAGAAATGGCTTCCTCTAACTTGCATTTCAAGGATGCAGCTTCCTCACAAGCAGAGTGAAAGGCTTCAACTCGATCGTCCGCCTAAGCATAAAACAATATTTAAGAAAAAAGGGAATGGAAAAAAAATATATATAAAAGCAGCCTGGCTACAGTTCATGCAAATGAAACCAAACGGCATCTGTTCTTTCTCAGGAAGCGATAAAGCTCCCTCTGAACTTCTGCATTTTTACATTGGGGTGGACTGTGTATGGAAGCTATTTTTGGGGTTTTTTTTCTTTTTTTTTTTTTTTTTTAACCCCCCCACTTTTTTTAAGCCACCACAAATATGCAATGCTGCCTCTTTCATCAGCAAACTGTTGTCACCACCCCCTCAAATTTTACTTCCTCTGCTGGTTCCACTTTTGCAAGGAGGCACTCCATTCCGAGCATGCAATTTCCTTTCCCTAAAGCAGCAATGCATTGCATGTAGCCTTCTGCATCTGCCTACTTCTTTCCTTCACAGAAGGAACTAGACTGTCCCTTACCTGTTTTCTGGCATCCTCAAGCTGCCTTGTAGCTTTTTGCAGCTCTAAACCAAGGGCTTCTGCCTGACTGGCAGTTTCTTCTTGTAACTGCTTGACAGTTTCTATCTCACATTGCCTGTGGGGCGAGAGAGCACAAACCGCAATCCGTTACTGACATTTTAGAGGAGGCATGCCTGGGAGATGACACATGCTAGTTGAGACACATATCAAGAACCACATTCATCTGTTACGTATCACAGCTCCCCAGGATGCAGCACCAGGAACTTAGCTCTTGTTAAGCACAGTTCAACCCAGTGGGCAGACAAGGCTTTTTCATAGTAACTGCAGAATAAGGAAGGGGATGGAGGTTTTCCCCGTTTTCTGCCCAGCTGAGCAGTGCTGCGACTGCGCCAGCCCCGGCCATCTGGGTACCATAGTGGAAGCTTGTGGAACATCCAGAGAATTCTCAAAGAGCAAGAGCTCAGTGGGGCTAACTCTTGCAATTTGGTAAAAAGAATGCATTTTCTCGTGGTTTGGGAGAAACAGCAATCAAATAGAGAGTAAGTCATTCTAGAAAAGAGACCCTGGAGCTATTACTGGAGGTACACTGCTTCATCAGATTAATCTCCCAGAGTTTCAGAGGGTATTCTTGCTGGACAGCAAATGGATGCCACCAGAACCCAGGAACCCTTTCTTTTCCACTACAGAAATCCTTTGTTCTTTCTTTCCTGACTTACCCTTGTATATTTTTTTCTTGTTACTAACACCACAGACAATTTTGATACAGAAAGGCAGATTAAAGAAATCAAGCCATCAGTATTTTTATCGGCTCTTTTCCAAGTGAAGGGAGTTCTACATTAACAGTCTACATTAACAGCATTAAGTGGAAGGTAAGTCAGGCAAAAGTGCAGTATGACAGCTCCACATGAGCTCTCAGGGATGTAAAGCACGAGGAAGCTGCTTACACCCCATACCTGGGTAAAGGCATGTGTGCAAAAATTTATATTTAGCATAGGATATCAGAAGGCTAACCCTGTGAGTAAACCTGGGTTCCACAAAGACAACAAATTCAGATTAGTTGTTCTGGGGGAAAAAAAACCCGACACAGAAAAGCCAAAAAGAACTTGGCTAGCTACTTTCCTGGATGTTTGAGAGGAGGGAGGACAGACAGGCAAAGTTTTAGACCTGCTGTCTTTTGCTGCCATATTTGTAACATCAAAAGTCATAGCAGGAACCACATACCAGTAAACTAGACTTTAAGCTTACATTTCATATTTAACGAGATAAGTCACTGAAACTATGGCCTTGAGAAACTGAGACGTTATGTCATCTGGGGCTAGGAATTTTCTCCCAAAGCAATAATAGCTGCAGGCACATATTTTACAGGTCTTCCATTTAACACAAAACCAGCAGTTCATTTAAGGGTTGCACCTGCTACACAGGTAGCGCTCTCTTGCTTTAACTGCTCAGTCTGTGGCCTCCCTGGTGTTTTCAAAGACATCTCCAAGGTCATATGTTACTTCATATGCAAACCTTAACGTAGTATAAGCATCATGCTAAAACCAGATCCACTCTCCAAAACAGCAGATAATTTCCTCAGTGAAAAGCCTGCAGAATTCAATAAACTTTGTTCCACAAGACAAAAAACCCAATCCAAAGCAAACACAAAACAGAAAAACCCCACCAAACTGCTAAGCAACCAACAAAAACCAACCAACAAAACAGTGAGACACGTGTGCTTTGAAGGGGTACCTGGCAGAGAGCTCTTTCCTTAGATGAAGTTGCTCTGTCTTGGTTCTCCTCAGGTTGCCTGCCATTCGAACAAAATCCTTCTCTAGGGATTCTTTGTATTTTTCCAAGAGATGAAGTTTCTGAATCCAAAGGTATCTCCTTTCTCCTAGTTCTTCCTTGAGAGCCTGGGCAATTTTGAAATGGAGTTGCCATGTGGTTAGATGAGGAGCAGAGCCAGAGAGTAAACCTGAACCCCAATTTACACAAGGAGAATTGATTTCCCTGCTCCCCCATTTAGTATCATCACATACTTCAGCAATAAAGAAGGTGGATGATTGACAACATTTTATAATCTACTCACTCAGCATCTGAGTGGGGAAGGAGAGAGAAATGAGGAAAAATACATCTTAATAAGGAAGACATTATAAAGGAGAAATGTGTGTTTGTTTCGTACAGAACTGTTCTCTGCAGTCCAGTAGATAAACACAGCTACCAACACTTCAGACCTGTGCCTTCTAACTACTGGATCTGACTGATGTGGGGAGACAGGCTAGAGTCCTATCAAGCGTTAGTACTTTAAGACTTTTTTTTTTTTTTCTCAGATGGAGCAATGCACCAGAAAATGTAAGCCTTCCACGTGCTAGTTCAATTTGACATATGGCTCCCACTTTTTTCAAAAGGTTACTTCTGAGTCAAAAGCCACTCTCAGCCTTGCTTTCTGGGCAGATCTAGGGTACACAGCAAGCCCTCTTCCTCTTTACCCTTGTAAAGAAGTATATGGTTAGCAAGTATTTATAGCAAGCGTGGCAGGAGATTACATGGTGCACAAGGGAGTCTTTACAACTTACCCCAGAAAAACTACATCACAAAATGCCCAGATACAGCAACAAAACCCATATTTCATAAGGGGAAGTTTTAATAATCACTGTCTTGCAGGAAGCCCTAAAAATCAATAATTTAGACTTCTGTGACCCTTTCCTCAAGGTATAACTAAGTCCATTTGCACTAATTTAAGTTTGTATTACAGCAAAATGAAAAAACCCAAACCCGTAAGTCTGTATTTCGGTTTGTCGTACACGCCTAGCAGATGAAATCTGTCCAGGGGATGACCCCTGTGACAAAGGCTTTCAGTTTTACCTCCAATTTGTAGGAAGAAAAAGAGGAAAAAGGTAAAAATGAAGCCTTGAGTAACATTGCATCATCTCTATTTCTCTGAACAGTGACTTGCAGTATAAAGTACTGAGAAAGAAGAATCCTGTCCTCTTTCTCTGACCTCGTTCAACTGAACATACAGAAGAGAGTCCTCAGCTTTTAAAGAATGCTTAATGAGAGTCAAACAGAGGTCAGGTAAGAATGAGGTTCATGTTTTAGGGATTTTACATTAGTTCAAAAGGGGAAAATTCTACAAATACAGGCCATGTTATCTACTTGCAAGATAGAGTTGAATATTGTTCATGAGCTTAAAAAAAAAGCGCGTAGTATATCATGCCACAAAAAAAGAAAAAAAAAGCGCCTGAGCAGTGTTGCTAGATATGTTTACTAGGATGACGTGGGATGTGACCCTGTGCAAATGCCCACATCCTGAAGATCAGTTTCTCAGCCAAGGCAGACAGTACTTGCTCCTAGAAATAGCATGGCTTTGACACATAACTGCTGTAGGCTTGTCAGGGCACATGCGCCACTGTCTTATCTTCCAGCAGGAGGAAGGCTGAACGAGGTTTTACTGTTACAATCTACACGTGCTTAAGTATGTGTATATACGCACAAAAACACAGGCACCCTTAAATTTACTTTATGTATAATATACTTCAAAACCTGCTTTAAAATACTAAACCCCATCAAGCTATGTCCATAATATTCCACAGGAAATGGTGGGGAAGTGTTTAGGCTTCAAGTGATAGTGCATGGTCCAATATTTAATTAGTTTTTCTACAGAAGGTTTCTCTAAGGCTGGAAGAAGCTACATTGAATGTTTCTTTTTCAGAATCTACTGTTGTTCAGTTCCATATACCATATTTTCCACATATTTGGCTTGTTCTAGCTAGGTGAATACAATACGTTTGACGTGAAGTCACTTGAGTGACCAGAAGGATGGAACCTCTTATTTTTAAAGAATCTTGTTCTTCCCTGGTCCTCTGTTAGCTTACTTTCCAAATGCATCACTCTCCAGGAGTCAGAATAGGATTCATTTGCCACGATCAACTCCAACATCCACGCCAAAAGTTTTTAGCTTCACATGTTTAACAGGAATACGATCCCAACATGAATGGTAAGTTAACAAGCATTTTTCAGCTGTGACAGCTTTGAAGGAGGAATATTTTAGTCAAGATCAAAAAGTGACAGCAATGCACAAGCCAGTTGTTTCCTAGAGTCTACCCAAAGTGACACCATGGTGATGAGACTTTCATAATTTATATAAAAAGGAAAAAACACTCCTAAAAAAAAAGCTCGCTCCAAGACTGGATGGCTCCAGTAGTTTCTCCTGCCTACCCAGCAAAGATGAAGAGGACCAGCTACAACATTTTGCAGCACTAGAACAAAAGAGGGATAGCTTTCTGTTGAAAAAGCTAACAGCTTCAAGCAGCACTTACTGTGGTGCCACCTGCTGTTACCCAAGTGAGACAAGGGATGAACTGAGTTTTTTGCATCTATTAAGCAGCCAAAAGACAGCATTAATATACTGCTTGGTGGAGTTTTTCAGTGTTCCTAGCAACAAACTAGTAAGAAGGAGCAGGTTAGAGTAAAACTACATCCAGTAAGGCAAAAATTTCAGAGACGGCACTGTTGCACAGGAGAGGAAGAAGGAACAAGAGAGTTGACCTGTGTCCACAAACTGGTGCTACCACACAGGGAAGTTATTTTTGCCCATTACCTTGAGAAAAAGTCTTTAATTTCAAGCCTCACAAGAGGTATGAGGAATAGTAAAAATACATGTAAGATTAGGTTGTAAAATATGTTTTTGAGGAGACTTTTCCTGTGGACTGTGTCCAGCAAAAGCAGAACATTTTTCCTTTTGAAAGAATGCAAATCTTATGAAGGTTTTGATTTGTAAGTCTGCTTATAAAGCTACCTCCCTCCTCCTCTTGATGGTGAAACCATACACTACCGTAGTCAGATTCATAGCACAGGGAAAAATAGGTGCTCAAGGCACACAGAAACATGAAGTGAGAAGAAAAGCTTCGTAGTTCACACAATATAGTTTGTCGTCTAACCTCATTTTCCTCTTCATATTGATTTGCTTCATCTACCCTTTCCTTCAAGCATAGTTTCAAAGCAGCGAGATCTTGCACAAGACAAGTCAGGAAAAGCATGGCCTTTAAGTAAAAAGCAATCATCCCCTTCCTCAAAAAAGTTACAAAAGATACTTCTCTCCATACAGTCATCTGTAACCCCAAATGGACTGCT